CCACCCCCCCCAGTGAAACTTTGTTCCCTCCCCCCCCCAAAGATTTCCCTTGACCCTTCCGGGAACTTTGTTGAAATCAACATTCTTTTCCCCCCCCCCCTGCCCCACAGAGTTTGGGGAAAAGGGGGGCCCTGCCAGACATTGTTTGCCTGTTGCCCACATGCAGGGGTGCCAGATTTTGCTGGTTTCCAGCTGCGTAGGTTCCCCCCGGTGTTACTACGTGTGTCCCCCTTTAAAGGCAGGGTGCATGACAGGAGGTGCGTGCTGACAGGGCCAGACTGAGGGGTGGGCGAGCCAGGCAGCTGCCTGGGGCGCCAACCGATGGGAGGTACCTGATGGCAGCAGTAAGGGGTGCGTGGCGTCCCTTATACCTGCCATCAGGCACCGCACGCCCAGCTCCCAGTGCCAGCCCTCCCCCCATCCCCGCAGTGCCGGCCAGCAGCGCCCTTCCCCCTATGGCCACAGGGCCCTGCACGGGCAGGCGTGGGCCGCCCCTTGGTCGCCCACCAGCGGGGCAGCTTGGGCTCCCCTGGGGCGGGCCCTGGGCTGCACATGCACCGTGCATCCGGGGGGTGGGAGGGGTGGTGCCGTGCACCCAGGCCACCAAAATAGCTCGGGCTGGCCCTGCATGCTGATTGCACACAATGACAGAGCCGTGCGCTCCCCTGGCATCCAATCAAAGCGCTGCTACGGTTCAGTCAACACCGCCCACGAATTCTAGCTACGCAAGCGCCGTTAGCAAAACTGCCCTATCCCGGGAAACCATTTTGGTTAGGACAATCTTGTATCCCACTGAGCTGGAGGACCACGCCTGCGGCCCACTCGCCGGCCAAGTCACAAGCACGATGTCAGCGGCAAGAGGGAGCCACCCACCTTCTTGAAAGAGGTCAGCAGCTTGATGCTGACGAAGCCCAGTTTGTTCTTCTGCACGTGCTTCAGCAGAAAGGCGTCCTTCGCCAGGTTCTCGTCGGACAAGTAAAACTCCACTTGAGACACAATCCGCCGCACGAGCAGTGCGTCCGGCACCGCGTCGCCGCACTCGAACGAGTCGGCCCCAAAAATGTCCGTCAGGTCGTAGAAGCTCCTGCGAGGGAGACAGCCGGGATCCCGCCCAAGGTTAATGCGCTCGCATGGCTGGTGCACACGAGCACCTGCACTTATCGGCACAAGCCTTGCATCAGACGGGGGCCACCGGAAGTGGCCCAGGCCACGGTGTGGGATGGTACCGGGGTATTGTCTGTAAGCGGGTCACCCAAGGCCAGCCTGCGGCGTCTGCGATGGAGGCAATGCCTTGAGGATTCATGAACCAAAGGCAACCCCAGAAAGGCTGGATTGGAGCCAGATAGCTAGGCTCAGTGCCATGGTGGGGTCATTCCCCCATTACCTGTAGCCTGTGCAGCCATTAAGTCCAGTAGAATGCCCAAGCCACTAGAAGTCAGGTTTCTCCACCCAGCCCTGTCATTGACCAGCTGTGCAAGTGCAGGCAACTCCCTCCCCCCCCCCCGCACTTCTGGCCCATATACTGTGGCCTCTGGCCTGATGGGCCAAAAGTCATCTCACCAGGCAGTCACACAGTCCCCAGCCCCATGGTCTCCAGGCGGAAGTACAGTACAAACCAGTAATAACTCAGCCTGGGAACATCAGTCACCTGCTGGGTCCTGGGGTAAAGGGCTACCTAAGATCCAGGATATGGCAAAACCAGGTCTGCTGGGAACTAGCTGACACCGGCCTGTGGTCGCTAGGTTAGAGGGGAACTTTCAACTAGCTCAGAGCCAGATCCGTGGCCAACAGAAGCAAGTACAAAGTGAGCTGGGGTCTCCACCGATGTTTTTCAGCCATGTGCAGAATACATTTTATTATGCACACCAAGGCATGTGTAGATGTGCACCACCATAGAAACACCCACTGCCAGCTATGGGTGCTCTGCTAATCAGCTGGGCAGCACCCAAATCTCTTCTGGGCAGCTCTCCCCCAAGCAGTCAGGTTACACTGGTCTTGGTCTAACTCCCAGCAGGCTACTTGCCCCCTTTATTTGCAATCACCACAGCAGCAGGGAATAGAAGCATGCTCTAAATCCCCACCCACCCCTAGAACTGGCTCCTGTAGGGAATGCAGCAGACCTGTGCTACTAGGAACCCTTAACTAAGTGGGGTACTCTCTCCACAGAAGTGCAGCTAAAGAGGCAGCAGCCACATACCCATCAAAGTTCTCAAAGAAATCTTCCTGGCCCAGCGGGGACAGGGGCCGGCCCTTAGGAGGAAGGAAATGCAGCGTGGAGAAGGGAGGTGGTTGTACTTGCATGGGGGTACTACACGCGGGCAGGGAACCAAGCCCCAGGGCCATGAAGGAGCCATGGGACGACATGGTGCTGCATCTAGAGAAGAAGAGACACTAAGCCAGTGTTCCTTAAACTGCGTTCCACGGCACACCGGTGTGCCACGAGGCAGCTGGAGGTGTGCCACACGAACAACAGAAACCAAAATGGCCACCTTTTAGGTCTCAATAACTTCCCCCCACCCAGACTTAAGAACATAAGAACATAAGAACGGCCGTACTGGGTCAGACCAAAGGCCCATCTAGCCCAGTATCCTGTCTGCCGACAGTGGCCAGCACCAGGTACCCCAGAGAGGGTTGACCGAAGACAATGATCAAGCAATTTGTCTCCTGCCATCCCTCTCCAGCCTCTGACAAACAGAGGCCAAGGACACCATTTTATCACCTGGCTAATAGCCTTTTATGGACCTAACCTCCATGAATTTATCCAGCTTCTCTTTAAACTTTATTATAGTCCTAGCCTTCACCACCTCCTCTGGCAAGGAGTTCCACAGGTTGACAACACGCTGTGTGAAGAAGAACTTCCTTTTATTAGTTTTAAACCTGCTCCCCATTAATTTCATTTGGTGTCCTCTAGTTCTTCTATTATGGGAACTAATAAATAAGTTTTCTTTATCAGCCCTCTCCACACCACTCATGATTTTATAGACCTCTATCATATCCCCCCTCAGTCTCCTCTTTTCTAAACTGAAAAGTCCCAGTCTCTTTAGCCTCTCCTCATATGGGACCCGTTCCAAACCCCTAATCATTTTAGTTGCCCTTTTCTGAACCCTTTCCAAGACCAAAATATCTTTTTTGAGGTGAGGAGACTTTTTTGGCACACAAAAAAAAAATTCTTGGTGCTCCTCATTTAAAAAAAAAGATTGTTTGGTGTTCCTCGGTCTTAAAAAGCTTAAGGAACACTGCACTAAGAAACACAGGAGACAGGTACAAGAGGCTTAAAGAGGCCCCTTATCAAGTGCCACAGTGCTCAGCTAGCACTAGGGCAGAGCCCCCCACACCCCAGGCTAGGAAAGTAAAACAATTGCTTGAGCTCCAGCACCAGCCTTTCATCACATCAGCACAGCCAGGAGAGCGCAGCTGGGAGCCGACAGCATCTACCCTCCCCCCCCCAGCAAGGATCAACACCAAGAAAACACATAACAGGCCCCAGGGCAGGAGAAAGCAGGGACAAAGCCCAGCTGCTTACCTGTTTCACCAGGTGAAGATGCAGTCAGAGCCTCTCAGCTCCTTCCGCTACATTGTGGAGGCTCCCAAGTGCTCACCTTCCCCTCCCTCCACGCAAACAGGCCCTACTAACAATGCAGCAAGAGAATCCCCTTGGCCTGCTGGGCCGCTGGTTTATAACAACAGCCAGAGCTGCCCAGCAAACCACAGGGCAGAGCTGGGAGGGAGGTGCCCTGCCTACTAAGGGGAAGCAAATGAGCAAGCAGGTGAATTGTGTCTTGGGGTTAAACAGCCTCACCTGCCCTGCATGAGCCTTAGGCCAGGACAAGGGCAGAGCCCTGGCCTGTAGGGAGGCGAGTTACTCAGAGACCTGTGAGGAGCCGAGCTCGGGGGTTCTAGGATGGGGGGAAGCCAGAGCAGGGGGAAGGGGTGTGAAGTGCAGAAACCGTCCTGCCTTTATAGGCCCTGTCATGATTATGAGGGTTAGCCAGCAGCCTGGGGATTAAGGAGTTAACTACACCTAGCCAGGTGGAGTGACCAATAGGAATGTAGGTGGGACTTTCAAACTGGGACAAAGGAATTTGGGTTTTTTCCTTTCTCCTTTTGTTTGCGTGTGCGTGTGTGTGTTGTCTGCAGCTACAGAGAGGGACAAGCATGTCTCTCTCCCTCCAAGACACCATTCTTCATTTTCTGTAAGTAGGGTAAAGTTTAGGTAGTTTCATTAGGCTTTATTGTTTTAAGGGTTGGGTACGGGATCTGAGATCTGGCCCCGCTTAAAAGATGTTTTGGCTTTTCTTTGTAACTAAGTTCTAGGCCCATGGAGTATCTCTGAGTATATTTGTTACCTTCCCATCTAGTCATTATGCTTGCAACAGGAATATTGTTGTAATAATAAAAGTTCTTTCTTTTCTTTTTATTAACCTGGCATTGGTTACTTGTGTGTCCTGCTTTTTATAATAGGGGTGAGATTTCCCAAATGATCTTTCCTCTAATCTCATTATTATTTGGGTGGTGGCAGCGGAAGTTTTATTCCCAAAATCTAGGTTTTTAAGGTTTTGGGGGAAGTCTTATACCAAAGCCTGGTAGATAAGGCTTTGGGGTACACTTGCTGGCCCCCACTTCTGCATTTATCATGCCAGAGTGGGGAAGGAGCCATGACAGGCCCATTCTACGGACAGGGAGAAGCTGGTGAGCAGCCCTGCTGGAGTAGGGACCTTTCCAGAGGAGGGGCCCTTTAGCTGCCCCCGCACCAATTGAAATAATTAATTTATCCGCTGCTGAAATGCCACCTCTTCCTACAGACAGAAGCAGGCCCAAGTAGGCTGCCTCTTTTTCACTAGGCTTGTGCGGGAGGCTGATAGCAGCACAGTTCTGGCATGGGACCCCTGTGGTTCCCAAAGCCCAGACTTTAATGGGGTAGCAGAGTTGGAAGGAAGCAGGTGCCTTGGCATGCAGCTCCAGCAAAAGCTGGCTGAGCTGTAGCAAAACCCAGCAGGGGGCTATTGAAAGAGCCGGCAGGGTCCTGGGTTGTGACAGGATCGTGCCTGTCAGAAATTTTACTTTCACCACTGTGGGGCAGGCTAAAGCCAGCGGGCTCTTCAGTGAAAGGCTGGCAATTCACCTGCTAGAATGGAGCTCCTGCAGGGTCTCCTACCCCAGTGAAACCTGGTCGGGCTGGTTTCTGCCCAAACCTACACAGGCCAGGCCTGGACACAGCTCCTAGAGCTGAGCGGAGACTGTGGTGGTAGGGTGCTCCCTGCTTTGACACTACTTAGTCTTGGGAGGTCAGCATTCAGGTGAGGATGGTTCACGTCCTGCTCATTGGTTAACACTAAGTGGCTTTTCCTGTCTGGGAAGGGGGATGTGATGGCTGGAGGGAAACCCCAGTATGGAATGGATCAGGAGAGAGGGTAGGGGAAAAACACAAACACCACCCCCGAGCGTGCTTGCATCCCTTCCCCGTCTCGCTTGCACCTCTGTGTAGGCCAGCGTTTCTTAAACTTTTGAAGACTGAGGCACATCAAACAATAACTTTCTTATGAGGAACACCAAGAATTTTTTTGTTGAGCAATTAAAAAAAAAAAGTGGGGGGGAAGGGTCGGGGGGGGAAGTTATTGAGCAAAAAAAAAAGAAAAAGGGTGCCTACCCCTTTAAGGGTGGCCATTTTTAATTCTGTTGTTCTCCGTAGAACACAGTTTAAGAAACACTGGTGTAGGCTGTAAGTGTAACTGCCACCAGGCAGATTTAAACCTGGGACCTCCGGTATAGCAGCCTCTACCCTCTGAGCTAAAAACCAGCTGCCTCTCAGCCCAGGCTGCAGAGGTCTCTTGGTCTGATCTGTTGCTGGGGTTTAGGTGCCACTGCATGGAACAGTGAACCACACGTGGGCTGTGTCTAGACCGGCGTGATTTTCCAGAAATGCTTTTAACGGAAAAGTTTTCCGTTAAAAGCATTTTTGGAAAAGAGCGTCTAGATTGGCACGGACGCTTTTCCGCAAAAGCACTTTTTGAGAAACACTGGGTTACATCAACTTTCTGGGCCATGAACCCGTCTGTCTCTGTGACAGGGGCTTTGGCAAGGGCTGAGGGGGAAGGTCTCTCAGCAGCTCAGAGCAGCCCCCGAGCTGGTCGAAATTTCACTATGCTCTCCTTCCTTCCCCACCTGCACACGAAGGGGATTGCCAGCCAGCCAGCATTATCCTCTTGTGGCTGCCGAGTGCATGTGTCTGCCTAGATTCCAGCTCGCTTCTGATAGTCTAGTAGCTGACAAATAACCAAATGAGCAATGCCACTGTCAGCGTGTGCTAGAGCAGAACGTGTTACCAGCCTGTGGGCAGGGCCCAGCCACTTGCTCTCGGCTGGTCAAGAATCCACGTGTGGCCAGTATCTTCTCTAACGGCCACACTGATGTGGAGCCCTCGCTCTGTTCCTACACCTGCTGCCACGCAATAGAAGGGGCTAGAAGTAAGAGTAGTAGCAATTCAGAGATCATAGAACTGGAAGAGACCTCGAGAGGCCATGGAGTCCAGGCCCCTGCCCTCATGGCAGGACCCAATACCGTCTAGACCATCCCTGACAAGTGTCTGTCCAATCTGCCTTTAAATATCTCCAGGGATGGAGATTCCACAACTCCCCACCCCCACACACACACCTCTTTCCAGGCAATTTATTCCAGTGTTTCACCATCCTGATAGGAAGTTTTTCCTCATGTCCAACCTATTGCTGCAATTTAAGCCTATTGCTTCCTATCCTATCATCAGAGGCCAAGGAGAACAATTTTTCTCCTTCTTCCCTGACACATCCTTTTAGATACTTGAAAGCTGCTCTCATGTCCCTCTGTCTTCTCTTTTCTAAACGAAACAAACCCAATTCTTTCAGCCTTCCCTCATAGCTCATGTTTCTAGACCTTTCATCATTTGTGTTGCTCTTCTCTGGACCTTCTCCAGTTTCTCCGCATCTCTCTTGAAATGTGGTGCCCAGCACTGGACACAACACTCCAACTGAGGCCTAATCAGCGCAGAGCAGAGCGGAAGAATGACTCCTCGTGTCTTGCTCACAACACTCCTGTGAATGCCTCCCAGAATCACGTTTGCTTTTTTTGCAACAGCGTCACACTGTTGACTCATGTTTAGCTTGTGTTCCCCTATGGCCCCTAGATCCCTTTCTGCAGTACTCATCAGACCGGAGACACTGAGGCTACGCTGTAAGAAAATGTTCCGTGCATTGAGCTCAGCTGGGCTCTGGGATAAGGGAGTGGGGGGATGAATCACAGGGGTGGGGACCATCCGAACGGGTCTGATGGGATGGGTAGCAGATGGACCTGCATGACCATCTCAGTCTCTGGGGATTCGGTGCTTGTGCCCCAGAGCCCTGGGCTGCCTGACAGACCGTTATTCAAGGGTTTCCCCACATCAGTAATTCACCACCTGAAAAGGGGAAGCGTGCAGCCAAAGAAGAAATAAGAAGTCCTGTTTTCAGCCCTCCCCGCAGCTGGTGGCAATGCTGCTGCTCGGGGAGCAGGAGGCTACATTCTGGGGTGACTGGCCGACCCTTGCCAGGAGCTAGCTCAGATGAGTTCTCGTTACCACAGCAGGAGACAGGAGGACCTATTGCGGAGTAAGTATTGGGGTTCGCTGGGCACAGAGAGCGGGACGCTTCCTCCTGAGGTGCTGGCTGTCAGGTGCAACCGTTAAAAAGCAGAGCTGAATCCCAGCTGGGCACGTCCTGGTCCGAATGATGTTTGAGAGGCTTCTTCGGGCTGGGATCGGGGGTTGGGCACATGCAAGGATGGAAGAGGGTTGGGTCACACCGGGTTGCAGAACCAGCCGGAATAGCTCTAAGGCATGGCCAGGCTTCCTCCCGGAGCTGCGCTGGAGCCCAGGTGGCCTGTTTTACATGAGCACTCTGACCCTAGACAGCTCACTAAACGAGCTGGGAAGAGATTCCCAAATCCTGCTTCCCGGTCCTCTGCTGTCATCACTAGACAACGCTGCCTCCACCAAACCATCCACCTCCATATGAGGGATGTTAAATGGTTAACCAGTTAGCATACTGGTAAGCATGGGGATTACTGGTATGGTCACCAGTTTACCAGTTAACTCGGGTGGGGGTGGATCCCCAGGCAGTGGGATCGTACGGCTGTGGTGGGACCTCACAGCCATGGCTGGACTGGCGGTAGGAGCAAGGTTAAAACAGGTTAACCATTTTAACATCCCATCTCCCCCCCTCCCCCTCCCCCTCCCCCTCCTCATTCCCTCTTTTAAACCCTTTCTTAGCTTGGCACCTCAGCTGGGGAGGTTGATTCTGGGGTAGCTCCCCTCAGGCAGGAAAGATGGCTGCCTGTGCTGTGCAGTTGGCATGGGAGGGTGGTCTGAGGTGGGCGTTGGACCCATAGCGACAGGGGATCTGAGTTAGGCTGGGAGATGGACGCGTGACTTACCCAGCTTGAGGTGAAGCCGGATCATGGGTGGGAGGGGCCGATAGGGGGCCCAAGTTATGATTATTGAGGGACCTGTAACGTCCTCACAAGGAGTCTTCCGTCGGGGCCCCGGGCTTTTATCGCAAGCCTTTGTGGCAATTGACCACACTCAGAGGTCCTCCAAGTGTGGTCCATGGCCCATCTTTATCACCGGTTTCATAGTTAAAGGGGAGGAAGCATCTATTCACTCCGCAGCATGCTTGTCAAGCCGTGCTGTGTCGGGCAGGGCGGGGGGCATGCGTGTGGCGGACTGGCAGTGTTTTACAGATTGGGTGGTGGAGCCAGCGTCCAGGGAGCTCAGCCACTGTCCGCATGGGGCTCTGTAGAAAACCATGCGTCCTGGACATGCAGCAGGCAGTCTGCCGACAGCCCAAACCATAGGAAGGAGGGGTGAGTTGTACCTCTGTTGGCAGGAGCAGCCTGCTTTCTCTCTCTCTGTTTTGGGGTTCTTGTCTGTTCGCCGTCTGTATCCTAAGAAGTCATGTCATGTTGCAGCCATGCGGCAAGAGTAGTTACTCATTTGACTTCTCTATAAGTGCACCATGCACGGAACAGCGTCCCATGTTGCGCCTGTGTGCACCAGCCTTGGTGGAGCCTCCAGGATCAATGAGATGCCACAGCCAGGTGCATATAACCTATGTGCAGGCCCCTGGTCTCCCAACCTCCCCTTGGTAGCACCTCTTCATGACAGCCAGACTTCTACAGATTCCCATGAGCAAAACTGAACAAGTCTCGGGTTGTATTTCATGTAAGCTTTAATAGGCAGCAGGTATAAAACAAACAAAAAGACGTTTTTCTTCACGCCGCACACAGTCAACCTGTGGAACTCCTTGCCAGAGGATGTGGTGAAGACTAGGACTTTAACAGGGTTCAAAAAATAGCTAGATAGCTTCAAGGAGATTAGGTCCATCAGTGGCCATTAGCCAGGATGGGTAGGAATAGTGTCCCTAGCCTCTGTTTGTCTGTAAATGGGTGACAGGAGAGGGATCACATTTTGTGTTCCCTCCCTCTGGGGCATCTGGTATTGGCCACTGTCGGCAGACAGGATACTGCATGAGATGGACCTTTGCTCTGACCCAGTATGGCTGTTCTCATGTTCTCTGTGGGTCAGGATTGAGGTCCTGTTGGGGAGGGGTCAATTCTGGAATAGCAAAGTCAGGTATGATGTGCATGGGCAGAGCTGTACAGGGACCTGGAAGAGTGGGGGCTGTTATGAGGAGCTGGGACTGAGCTGTCTGTCTGTGGGGAGCCCAGGGCTGGAAGAACAGGATGAAGAGGCACTGAGACAGGCGTGGCTGAGAGGCTCCTGACTGCACTGCATGTGTGTAGGGGAGGGGAAGTGCCATATTTTAGTTCCCAATGAAGAAAATGTACAAAACTGAGGTGAAAACTTCCAACCACGCCAGCGCCGAGTGAGGAGCTGGGACTGAGCTGTCTGTCTGTGGGGAGCCCAGGGCTGGAAGAACAGGATGAAGAGGCACTGAGACAGGCGTGGCTGAGAGGCTCCTGACTGCACTGCATGTGTGTAGGGGAGGGGAAGTGCCATATTTTAGTTCCCAATGAAGAAAATGTACAAAACTGAGGTGAAAACTTCCAACCACGCCAGCGCCGAGCTGGGCTTTGGACCAGGGAAGGTTTCACTTTTCCAAAGAGTCAGAAATGCTCCGGCTTTCCCTCAGTAAGGGCCTGTAGAAACTGGCCCAACAGCTTTCTCTTGAGAGAAGAATTCACCTTGCCGGGCCTGTGGAAACAACCTATAGGGAGCCCACAACACAATCCGTTGTTACTGCAACTTCCACCATGCTTGGCTGACCCCGGCTGGTGTGGGGTTTCCTGAGCAGAGGGAAACTGGCAGTCAAAGCGTTTCTTTCCTCCTTGCCTTGAATGACTCAATCACTGAACCCCCTCTGGTCCTGGCTGATGCAGGCTATTTCATAATGCTAGAAATATCAGGCTGGAAGGAACCTCGCAAGGTATCTGGTCCAGGCCTCTAATCTGAGGCAGGACCAAGTCAACCTACTCCCTCCCTGACAGGTGTCTGTCCAACCTGTCCTTTGAAACCTCCAGCGATGGGGATTCACCACCTCCCTAGGTAACCTGTCCTGGGGCTTGGTTACCCTGTCAACCTAAGACTCCCTTGCTGCAAACTTCAGTCGCTTCTTTCTTCTCCAGCCCTCAGTGGACAGGGAGACTGACTGATCACTGACAACCTTTTACATGTCATAAACTAGCGGATTTACCCAGCGTTGCCCAGGTCCTTCAAGGCAGGGGGCTGGCAGTGGGGCGGGGGAGTGCAGGAGTCAGGGCAGGGTCTTGGGGATGTGGGGAGGCTGTACAAGAGCATGGGGGTGGGGATGCAAGCTTACGAGTGGGGGAGTGAAGAGGGGTTCAAGGCAGAGGATCCCATCTGGCCCAGGCTTTTTCCTCCCTTCCCCCCCAGCTGCCAGGGGTGTTTTCTCTCCCCCAGCCCCAGCTGCCAGGGGCCTGTCTCCTGCCCCCAGCACTGCGGCCAAGAGCCGGGAGGGGGAGGGAAAGGGTTTGGGTCAGGGGGGCTACATACTTGATGTGCTGGCAGGCTAGATGGCAGAGCCCCAACCCTACTGGCCATGCCCTTGGTGGTGCGGCTGCCCCCGGTGGACACTCTGCAGGATAGATAACCCAGCTGAGTGTGCAAGGTAAGATTTAGTGTCAGAGAGGTGCTGAAAGGAGCCGCTAGGGGGGTTGTGACACAGCGGGGGTTGTATTCACTCTGTTCGCTTTGTTATGGTGCATGTGATTCCTCCTCTCCTGCCCTGTTCCGTTGTAACGCTGGGTGCGTGCCTCAGTTTCCCTGGGCACTGCGCTGGTGCCCGGCTGGGATGGGAATGCTGGGGGTGGCTCTCACTGAGGGGAGGCTGCCCCAGGCTGCCTAGCCCAGCACCTACACAATGGCTCGGGCTCTCTTGAAACCTGAGCCTAGGTAGGAAATGCGATCAAGTGAGACCTTTTGCCCTGGAAGCTGGACAAGAGAGAAGGCAGGGCTGGGACTGGCTGCTGGGTGGGCAGGGGAGTCTTGGCTGGCTTTGGATGCAGGATGGGGGTTCAAGTGGGATTGGACTGATTGCTTCTGGTTCCTGAGTTAACAAGTCTGTGCTACGCTGTGTCCCTGTCAACAAATAAACCTTTTGTTCTACCTGCCGGCTGAGTCTCACACTTGATTGCAGTGGGGGGGTGCAAGGCCCGGTGACTCCCCGACAGGTGTCAGTCAGACAGGACTCACAGATTTGTCAGACCTCTCTGTTTATTAGCAAAGCCGCTCGGCTAATACACCCAGAAAATGTGAGTGCCATGCAAGGCTCAAACCCCTTTGATTTATACAGTCAAAAGAAAGCCAACTTAACAAGATTAAAAGGTGGCAAAACTTCACGGGTGCATCTAGACTGCCAAGATTTTGCACAAAAGCAGCTGCTTTTGCGCAAAAACTTGCCAGCTGTCTACACTGGCTGCTTGAATTTGGAGATGTTATTGTTGTCTGTAAATACATCAGAGGGATAAACATAAGGGAGAGAGAGAGGAGTTATTTTAGTTAAGGAACAAGGATGACACAAGAAACAAATAGCTATAAATTACATCAGTAAGTTTAGGTCTGAAATTAGACAAAAGTTTCTAACCATCAGAGAAGCGAAGATTTGGAACAGCCTTCCAACAGGAGCAGTGGGGAAAAAAACCTAATTTGTCTCAAGACTGAACTTGATAAATATATGGAGGAGATGATAAAATAGATTGCCTACAATGATATATGTCCCAACTGTGACTAGCCAACAGCTGGAGATATGACAGTAGAAGGAGAGGGCTCTGAGGGTAAATCTACACTTCCACGAAGATCAACTCTTCAGAGGTCAATCTTCCAGTGTTTGATTTAGCAGAGCTACCTCAATTACTTTCTACCAAACACCTAGGCTGCATCTAGACTGGCAAGTTTTTCCACAAAAGCAGCCGCTTTTGCGGAAAAACTTGCCAGCCGCCTTGCACAAAAAAGCCCCGATGGCTAAAATGGCGATTGGGGCTTTCTTGTGCAAAATCGCGTCTAGATTGGCCACGGATGCTTTTGCACTAAAGCACTTTTTGCGCAAAAGCATCCGTGCCAATCTAGACGCACTTTTGCGGAAATACTTTTAATGGAAAAACTTTTCTATTAAAAGTATTTCCGCAAAATCATGCCAGTCTACACACAGCCCACATGATTAGTATGAGACTAATCAAGTATCTTCATGTCCACATCAAGCACACAGCAATCTCCTGTCCATATCTCTCTGGCTACCTCAATTACTTTCTACCTAACACCTAATGTTCCTTTTCCTGTTATCCCAGGCTCACCTGGCTTCATTCTGATCTGCATACCTACAAACATAATCATCTCTTTCCTGTTCAAAGACAAACAGTATTCTTTCAACTGAGTATAATTCATCTTTCTTTTACAACATAATTCTTTCTACTTTCACACAGGGTTGATCTTACTTTGCTTCTAGTGTCTCCCACACTCAAACTTCTTGGGGGTCTCTTGGCTTTGTCCATCTGCTGGCCTGTTCCTAGACTCAGAAAACCCTTCCTGATATGTCCCTTGGCCTGGAGATCAGTGGCTTCCGTTGTTGGTCTTATTATTCAGTAATCAACCCCAGCTCTTTAACAGCATCTCTTACCTTGACCGTAGCTCGCTGTTTGCTCTGGAGGGATAGATGGTGTTTGCCAGGGGCCCAGTGGGAGAAGGAAACTGAAACCCAGCTCAGTGAGGAAAAGGGAAAATGGATCTGGACGTCATCTACGCAGATCTGAAATTTCCTCCTAGAGCTCAACAAACCGATGTGAAGAAAGCAGGTAAGAGTCAGCCACGGAGAGACCCTGATAGATGCTTCCCAGTTGGGAAGGAAGAGTTCTTTCACAAAAAGGCGTGTGTGGACGGGGAAGAGGGATGAGGAATGAGGGGAAGAAGAGGAATGTGGACGGGGAAGAAGAGGAATGAGGAAAAAGCACAGGTGCTCTGATGGCCATTTCGTCCACAGCAATCACAGCTTACATGCGAGACAGCGTCCACTTAGCCTGGATGCTCTCTTTCGAAAAAGCAGATCGCTTTTTCAATGCACTTCTGCAGTGTGGACACACTCTT